GGTGGGGGTGGGGGTGAAGGGTAACAGGAATGAAGGTCCATTTTTCTCTAATGTCATACATGCGACGATTAAAATGACATTAAATCTGCTAAATTGTTCAATTTAATAGTTTATGTAAAAGAATGAGAGGTATCCTCTAAAAGTGTTACTCGATTTATGTTACTTGAGGTTTTTAAGTAATATTTGATACTAACCCAATCTATTCACCTTGCACTATGGCCTTATTTGTGGACCTTTGAAGTAATTTTACTAAACACATTGTCCCCAAACCCATGCAATCTACTCAGCTTGCTGAATTATTTGGAGCTGTTACATTTTGGCTACTCATCAATATCCGGAAAAATGTGACTTACTTCCCCCTAAAAATCAAAAAAGTATACTGCATTCGCACATGAAATTTTTGATAAAACTACGAGGTGAACAAAACCACAGTTTTCAGACCAACACATCAGCTTCACAAGCAACGTCCAAATATAAGAGTTGTTTCTCCAGGTAAATGTCTCCCTCATCAGATAGGTTAACACGGTAACAGATTACTTATATTGCTTGATAAGAAACATAGCACTAACAGTTTGTACTTAAATACTGTACCTTTCAACAGATTGTCATTTAATATAAACATTAAAGATTTAACTTTAAAACTATTGAAATAAATGACCACGAGGGAGGGGTAAAATATACCAAGCTTGATATATTCTGTATGCATGTAAATAGGTTCTTATTTTATGATGAATGGACAACGTTTTTAGTTTAAATGAATTTGAAAATACAAACTATAATGAAAGATAGGACTAAGATTTGTGCAAATCAAGAGGTGAAGACAGATGTGGAAAGACTGACTGAGGAAGTTTAATGCTTATTTTGAAATGCTAGGTATAAAAATATTTCTGGAGTATATTTAGGCCCGTCATATTCTAAAATATCATATTGCTTTTAAATTGCTTGAATGATTGCAGAAACGTGATTTAAAACATTTGATTTTCCATAAATGTAGCGTTCCATTTGACACGTAAGATACATTTAATCTCGAATTTAATAAAACGTAGAAAAATTGATTTAATTATTTAGCCCTTCAGGGTTTTATGCTCAACGTTTACCACAAAAGAAGCTTTCTGGCTCAATCTCTTCATTAAATATGCGACGTCTCTGTTTTTCCATCATATTTTACCTAACCTCTTAAACACTAAGTAAAATCTTCAGATGAAACTGAATACACTGATTAAAAAAAAAAAAAAAAAGGCAACATATGGCAGTTGAAAATAGATTTTGCTACTCATGAATCATAACGGGCTGACTGGGGATGGGGAAAACTACGTACGCCAGAGCAAATAAGAAACTTGCGACCCACCGCTTTCAATAGCTGAAACAGTACTGTGAAACAGCTTACAAGTATGTGTGTATCGTAGAAAAGCTTCAGTATCAGGTTAGAAGTGAGAGAAGACTGGCCCGATCGCCACCGACTCTGAATTTGTGTTTCCCAGGGGTACGGGGGGGGGGGGTGGATGATGGTTATCAGGAATGAAAGTCCAATTTTTCTAATGTCCTACATGAGATGATCAAAATGACATGAAATCTGATCCCCACCGACTGGTGTTTGCTAAGGGTCGGGGGGGGGGGGGAATGAAAGGAATCTGGAATGAAAGTCCATTTTTCTCTAATGTCCTACATGAGATGATCAAAATGACATGAAATCTGCTTAATTTTAAATTCATTATATGCAAAAGAGTGAGAGGTAGCTTCTACATGTAGAAGTGTGACGCATTTTATGTTACTCGAGTATTTTAAGTAATATTTGATACTAACCCAGTCTAGTCAGCTTTTATTGGCGTTTATTAAAAGGAAAAGAGGCGATTTATATAAAAAAATAATACATGTATATTCACTTGCCAAGGAAATAAAAGGATTATTATGAAAATATGAGAAACGATAAGTATTTTTTGGCTCGTCATATTGCTCTTAAAAACAGTATAAAATGAAAATTAAATGCCAATTTCCAAAAATACAGCATTTTATTTGACACGTAGGATACTTGAAATCTCGAATTTGATAGAATGTGTGGAAAGTCTTTTAATAATTTTGGCCTTTAAGGTTTTATGTTCAACGTTTGCGGCAAAGAGATGCTGTCAGCTGGCTCAAACACTTCATTAAATATGCGACGTCTTTCCTATTGCCATCATATTTAACATCAGCTCCCAAACACTAAATAAAAACTTCAGATAAAACAGAATGCATTGAAAAAAACAGAAATGGCAACATGTGGCCTTTGAAAGTAAATTTTTGCCTGTTGTGAATCATAATGGAATGGCTGAGAGATAGACAAATCACAAACCCGCAACGCACTTCTTTCAATAGCTGCTCAGACAACACCATGAAACGGCTTAAACAAATATAGGATTGGTCAGAAATCGCAACAAAATGGCATGATTAAGAATACAATAGGTGTTGCATATAACTGCAGCTCTCACTGAACCTCTGAATGATAAGATGAGACGCGTGCACAGTGTGGAATATTCCTGAACGTTATAAGATGGAAAAATTGTCTTACGAGGCTTACCACACAGGATTTTCTGCTTAAGACGGCTGACACCCGCATTAATTAAGCTAGAAAGTCTTCAAAATACTTAATATTTTATACATAAAGTAAATGATTTAGATTCTATTCCAGGGTTCCTTGTGGTTTAATTAAGAAAGGCTTTCGGTTAAGTGGATGGACCGAAGATTTTCTGAAGTTTCTTTAATGTCTAGGATAATTTTGTAGTACATTGTAGATGAGCAATTCATAGCTTAAATGTATTAATATGAAACATTTGAACCAGATTCAGTCCCGTAGCTAGCAATTTCAAAAGACTAGTGTCTTTTTTGAAAAAAAATTGAACTCATGAATCATAACGGACTGTGGGATGGGAAAAGTTACGTACGCCAGGGCAAATAAGAAACTCGCAACGCACCTCTTCAATAGCTTAAACAGCACTATGAAACAGCTTACAAGTATGTGTGTATCGTATTAAAGCTTCAGTATCAGGTTAGAAGTGAGACTGGCCTGATCCCATCGACTCTGAATTGGTGTTTGCTAGGGGTTTGGGGGGGGGGGGGGAGGATGAAGGCTATCAGGGATGAAAGTCCATTTTTTCTCTAATGTCCTATAAGTGGTGATGAAAATGACATTAAATCTGCTCAATTGTTAAATTCTGTATATGCAAAAGAGTGAGAGGTAGCTTCTAAAAGTGTGACGCAATTTGTGTTACTTGACGTATTTTAAGTAATATTTGATACTAACCCAATCTATTCAGCTTGTATTGACGTTTATTAAAAGGAAAAGAGGCATTGACATCAAAATATAATATATGCATATTCACTGGCCGAGGAAATAAAAGGATTATTATTAAAATATGAGAAACGATAAGTATTTTTTGGCTCGTCATATTGCTCTTAAAAACAGTATAAAATGAAAATTAAATGCCAATTTCCAAAAATACAGCATTTTATTTGACACGTAGGATACTTGAAATCTCGAATTTGATAGAATGTGTGGAAAGTCTTTTAATAATTTTGGCCTTTAAGGTTTTATGTTCAACGTTTGCGGCAAAGAGATGCTGTCAGCTGGCTCAAACACTTCATTAAATATGCGACGTCTTTCCTATTGCCATCATATTTAACATCAGCTCCCAAACACTAAATAAAAACTTCAGATAAAACAGAATGCATTGAAAAAAACAGAAATGGCAACATGTGGCCTTTGAAAGTAAATTTCAAAGAAATGGGGGGAGGGGGGGGAGAGGGGGGGGGGGCAAGACATCAATACTGAAGGATTGTCCATGTTGATAGTTGATGTGAGTGTACGGGGATAAAATATGAACACTTTTTTATAGTATGATTATTTTTGTCCGACGTCTGGGATGACATTTAGTTTGTACTCATAATATTGTGAGGCATTAAAACTGGTCGATTGAGAAAGAAAAGACGTGGGGATGGGCTACCTCAAAGATCTTACGTTATCATAAATTGGGGTTGGCAAATTCAAACACCGTTATAACATATAGCAGTTTCCCCCAGACCTTTTAAAATATTTAAAGTTTCTTTACTGTCTAGGATAATTTTTTAGTACATTGTAGATGAGCAATTCATGACTTAATATGAAACATTTGAATCAGATTCAGTCCCGTAGCTAGCAATTTCAAAAGACTAGTGTATTTTTCTGAAAAAAAAATCGAACTATTAACATAAACATAAATTAAAATTTTACTCAGAGGGGCCCAAAAAGGGCGATTATTTCGAATCCACGTGAGATTAACAGTCTTCGCCGAAGATCTCACCTGCAGCGACATGACAAAGATCAGCTTTACATAATTTGAATTTTACAGTTAATATTGAGTGAGAAATGGACCTTTCCCTCTCTCTGTTTTTCTCTTTTTTACTTGTTTCTTTAATCTTTATTTTTATTTGTAAAACCCAAAACTCCTCTGCATCAACCTACGCACAGAGATAGAACGCGCATGCGTACTCTCAGTTTGCCAACGTGGAGAAATTGCTGCGTGCCCACCTTTAAAAAGTTGTATAAATAAGAAGAACTGAGGAAAGTGTTTCGCAGTTGCCGTTTCTCTTCCTGCTACACGTTCGCCAAGAAAGGAGATTCTCTTGAAGATGACAGGACAAGGAGGCGTGGCCGTGCTTCTGATCATCGCTTTGACAACGGTGACATCCGTTACTGGCGCGGGTCCCATCCCTCTTACTGCGGAGGAAGAGGCTCAAAGATACAATGCTACGCAAGACATGCTTAACCTTCCAGCCGCTGATCGGATGGTACCTGGACTGCCCCCCGGTCCAATACGTAAGTTCCATTTTTCCTTAAGATTGCAAACGTGACCGAATGTGAAAACGTTGGCGACTTTAACCTAGGTGTTGGCAAGAGTGTTTTTCTGCTGCAGCTTTTAATAAGTTTGGTCATCTAACGCTACTGTACTACAGATATATGTTATGAAGTATTTGGTTAAGATTTTAAGTTCTCAAAAGTGTGTTATACGTATAATTTGTAAATCTATATATCTTGTAACGAAATAAACCCAACATGTTGCCGACAAATTTTGTTTAAAGAAAGAAAGAAAGTAAGAGTAAAAAAATACTTCAGGAAATCAGAACTGAGTAAAACAAAATGTTCTTTGTATAGAAGCTTGACCAATGCCTTCTGTTTGCTCTATTACTTAGGTAAATAATATTTCGTGTTAAATTAAACAAATATTACATAAATTAAGAATTTCAGCTCACAGATTAATTAAAGAAAACGGGAGACAGTAATATACACAGTCAATATAGCACACCTTTAATGATATAGATAATTTAATGCTGACAGTGGACCTTTTATGGAGGTATTGGAATGTATCCAAAATAGTGTTCCTTTATAATTTCAACTTGCCCCTGTCCATTTCAGCGGCAATCTCGGCTTGTGAATGCCATGCGCATGGTGATGTCCGATATGTTACGTGTGATGGGAAAGTCTTCAGATTTGATACCCCACCCCACGTTACAGGTATAATGGCAAAGTCTAGACCTAGCTGGCTTTGGTACATAGCAACGGGACAAGAGTTCTTTGATGGCGGTCCGAAGACTCGGCTGTCATCAGTGAAATTCAAGATCTTTGCTCACTACGTGAAAATTGAGTACAAAAAGAATCCAGATCCAAGTGGAGTGTACACAATAACGGTGAGTTTTCTCCTCCTTTTCTCTCTCCATCCTCTGCCTTCTCTCTCTCTCTCTCTCTCTCTCTCTCTCACTCAGGCCACTTACTCTACGGCTTTCAATAGGTAAGAACTTTGCCAGCATCCTGTGAACAATTTATATTATTAGCTACATAAAATTTTATACATGTACTCAGGGTATATATATACATGGTTGATAATAGACGGTTTCCACTGTTTTCCTATTATTACCCCGACAACGGAGGAGGTAGTATTTGTTACCGTTAGTGGGTTTGTTTGATGTTAGTTACTTCGAAATCTTCGACCCAGCTATTTGTCTTGGAAGAGGCTGCGCTCTCTCAGTCCTTTACCTCTGACGAAGTTATATTTTTGTTACCATCGTTACTTGAATGCCCCCAAAAGGGATCTCGAAATATGTTGATCAATTTTCATGTTTGTGTGTGTGCAAGTATTGTATGTCTGTGTGCACCTTCTTGCCCACAATACTGAATGTACTGAATGTATCGTTCTGATTGATTTTGTAAATGAACGTGACCACGTGGTGATTATTATTATTATTATTATTATTATTATAACACTTTTTCTCATTGCAGGTAGCAGCTGAAGCTGCACCTGTTCCGCCGATAGCGGTTTTTCAAGTAAGTCTTGGACCCGGTACTGTAGGTGCAGTGCTCTACGTGGGGAACGGTTTTCATATCTCCGTAATTCCGATGGGCGGTGATTGGTACATTCAAGTTAGGTGCACGCTCCTGCCGTCCGTCCTGTTTGACATTAGGATACTTGTGGCCCGACATTGTCTCCAGATTCGCATTCCTCCGATATGGAACATTTGGATGGAAGGGATATGCGGAAATTGGGACGGAAATCCAGATAACGACGTTACGAATCTTGTCGCCTGGCCACAGGTGAAACCTGTGTAGTTTAGGGGATTCCCTTAACAGCACACGGCGCCGATGACGTAAGTAGATTGTATTTTATCTGGAATGTGTGTAAATAAAACTCACGAGTCGTAGAATGCTGAAGTTTCTCTCTCTCTCTCTCTCTCTCACATTCCCAGAATACAATTTTCTTAAAAACTTTTTTCACACGCAACTTATCAGATTTAAAAACATTAATTTTGTATCCTGATTTTTTCACAATTTTGTTCTCCCTTACATAAATAATTTGTGTCTACCGAAATGATGGCAGACACCGGCATATATATAATCTTAATCTTATTTCTCTTTAAATCAGGATATTACTCGACGATCCATGGCGTGATGACCAAAGAACCCAATCAACCAACCAACTCTGTACAAACTGTGTCTTCTTTCTCCAGTCAGTGATGTTTATGTGGAACACGGGAGGCACTGGACGCCATTTCATGTTTCACAGCCGTTGACTTGGGTTACTACGGACCATGTCACTTAGACTTTTAGATCCCTATTTCTATGGAATATTTCTATCTGTTGACTAAACAGAATTGAGAAAGGCTACTATTTGACTCGCACACTTATTGTTCTTTGGCGAACGTCTATTGGAGAGTCGAAAATTCACATAAGGAACAAAATAATGGACAATGAAACCGAAATTTGTGGGGGTGCACGCGACTCTTTCGGTTCTACGATAACTATTCTATTATTTGCTTGTTTGATTTTAATTTTGACATTGATCGAGGTATTTTATGCCTTGAAGTACAAATTATTGCATGTGGGTTTTTGTTAAGAAGGTTGAGTTAATCATTTTGCTGTAACATTATTTCGAGGATGTAAACAAATTTGGAGAAATCTCCGAACACAATACTGATCATGACAGAGAAAAACACATTTGGCACTTAAAACAGATGACATGCAAAGGAAAAAGTACCTCTAGTACTATTGATAATTTTCACAAATTTTGATTGATGATGTTCACCTGGTGAAGTACAGTGGAAACGTGGTTTAAATTGGGTACGATGTAAGCTTTAAAATGTATTTGTCGTTTTAATTTGTGATTTATATTCTTCTTCAAGTCGTTTCGCCGTGCTTGTGGCTTTAAAATTGTTATTAAATGATATCAGTGATATCATATATCTGTATTTTGTTTTAATTATGTTAAAGGGGAGGACGCATGAGAAATCCCGTTGCTATTTTTTGTAAATGGTCTAAAGTTTTTTATATAAAAAACATCTTCGTTCAAAGTTTAACCAATAGTCCCAAAACACCGAGAACAAAATAGGTCCTTCAGGTACAATGTCAGCACTGGTAAGAGAGAGAGGGTACAACATTATGTGGGATCTTAGTGGAGTCATCAGTATGAAAAATTACAAAGAGACGACGGCAATATTGCTATACTAATTTGACGGAAAAACGCTTCTTTTTGTGGCTAGGTTCCCTTTTAAAAGGACAAGAAAAGACAGCTCAGAAGCTGAGGGAAGGGCACGTGCCCACTGCCCCCTTCAGACGATGTTCTTATGACATATTAATAAATTTAACGGTACACAGCTATTTAAACGCTACCCGCACGAAAATGCAGTAGTATTGAAGTAGCAAAATCAAATGAAAAAATGTTCAAGTGCAAGAAGTAAAACTTTTAAGCCTCATTTTAAGGCATACCTTTGATGAAATCACCATAAAGAGAATATGTCAGTGAAACAAATAAAATAAACCAAATTCACCCTCCACATTTTCTACTAAGGTGCATGTGTATGTGGTCAAGTGAGTTCATGGTTCACTAGAGAGAATGGCGTTTTATGAATAATTGTAATCAACCATGATTTATTCTTTTCAATTTGGTAAAACAGTTAAAACTGCTGTCGTTGCCAAGGAGCCTGGGAGACATCAGTTTTGAAAAAATAGGTGTGTTTGTGGGGGAGGGGGAGGCTCTCAAAATTAAAATGAATGCCTGTTGGCTGTAAACACCCCACTCCCCTCTTCTTTATATATTAACCAGACTTGGCTTTCAGTACCATATGTGTCACTGAAAGCAGGGGTGCTATCCGTCACCGCCCACCCCTCGTTTCCCCTCCGCACCCCTTTTCTTCTGCATGAAATATACTGGCACTGAAGAACAATGAAACACACACACATATATTATTTTATTCAAAATCATATAAATATTCACTTAACTCTCACTGAGAATTAATTGAAACCGGAAATTGTGTTTCCGGCGTTTTGGCAAGAATTGTGTTAAACAAGCGGCGGAGGTCATTGCGTTAGATGAGACGTAAAAAACACAATAACAATAAACTGCGATAACCCTTGATAAAATACCAGCATACACTTACAGCAACAATTAAAATCTAGATTTTGTGAAAATAAATCAACGATTATTTTGCACTTGTGCTGGCGGCAACTGCTTTTGGTGGCTGTATGATTTGTACGGGAGGATTCTCTGTGCCACGTGGCATTGAGAGAGGGGTGCTATCAGTCACTGCCGCCTCTCTCTGCCCCCCCCCCCCCCCCATTCTTGTGCATGAATTATACTGGCACAGAAGATCAATGTCACACACACACACACACACACACACACACAGAGATTATTTAAGATCAGTTTATTTAAGATCAAATACATGAAAAAACTCACTGATAAATAATTGAAACCGTTGTGTTTGTGGCACGAATTGTGGTATACGCGCGGTGATGGTCATTGCGTTAGATGAGACGAAGAAAACACAATCTGCATCTGCGATAACACTTGATACAATAGCAGCACACACTACAATCAAAGCCTGAATCTCATGCAAAATTGATCAACGATTAGTTTGCAGTTGTGTTACATGCTGGCATCGACTTGACAGGTGGATTCTCTAAAATATTTCCCCACTCTGCCGTCCCACTGCTGCTTCTTCCCACATGGATCCACAAGAGAATAAAACATAGGTGTCAACATTTTTACCCTCTGGATAATTTCGTTCATTTTATGATTTTATGCATTCCAGTTCTGAGAGCAGACTAATATTTCGTGCATTCAGAATTGTCAAACAAATCAATCCCTCTAATATGTCATATTTAAATAATAATAATAATTGATTCTACAGTTAACCCCAACAGTGATTATTGTCCGTATTCTTAAGGACTATTCCCACAACCGGCTTAAATATCTTTCACGCCTAGTAAAGCTGTTAGGGGGTAATTCTCTTTATCCTCTAGCTGATCCGATAGGCGTGACAGACATTTAAGCTGGTTAAGTTGATATCATTTTAGTGAGACTCCCCAAGGAGTTAGACCGATCCAGATGGATCGATCTAGGCATGGGGACCCAGTCTTATGGAATTCAGTAAATGATTCAATTATATGGTATTACAATAACCCTCATAAAGACCACTACTTTTTAACACAACTAAAAATTGTCTTCTGTGGCATAATTAGTCTGTAACATTCTGTCTTCTATTGAAATAAATAAATAAATAAATAAATGAATAAATAAATAAATAAATAAAAAATAACATGAAAAAGTAAAATGAACCTATCAACATAATTAACTGGACAATTATTTTTATCGAAATGCAATATTTTGTTTAAATGAAAATTATGTAAATCACATAGATCCAGTAATCAATAATCTTAATTAGTTAAATAAATCAAATTTGCACTTTGCCTTCCCCATTTTCAGTACTCATTCTTATTGAGTTAAGTAAACTTGTTGCCTTTGGTTACGTATACCTTTTGTTTGTCCAAGTTCTCATTTGTCGTTGTCCATGTTACTTTTGTCATTGTTATAATAATAATAATAATAATAATAATAATAATAATAATAATAATAATAATAATAATATCTATTCATAGTCTGAAATCAATTAAAATGTTCAATAGACTTTACATTGGTAAAATGAACAGAATAAAGTCAATAAACAAATACAGCATTGATGTGCTTTAATTTATAAATCACCACGTCTCAGGCGAAACTAGTGATTTCATTCCACATACAATAAATAACACGGTTAGTGGTACAGAAAATACAAACTAGCGGTGAAGATATCAATATTTAATACCATTTATTCACATTTATTACATGACCCCCCCCCCAAAAAAAAAAAAAAATGTTGCGACAATCTCTGTCAGATAGTGGCAGTGTCTATGAGGCTGTAATCGGGACAATATGCTGACAGAGGACACTACAACACTGCCATCTATCATCATTCTATATGCAGTAGTAAGGAGTTAAAATGGTGGATTTTTTTGGTGAGATTAACCCACGTTCAATAAGTGAATGTATTTACGCGTTACACCATGCAATTCAGGGAAACAAGGCAAGCATTCATACTGTATGATTTGTTTGAGTAATTATACGGTTATGGCAGAGTTTATGACATTCTTATGCATTATGGTGTAATAGTGGCTGCAAACCCAATTTTGTCAGCTTACTGAATTATTTATGGAAAGTTGCCACATTTTGATGCTCAGCAGTTCTGTAAAAATTAGGTTTACTGGTGAATCTTTTTAAGAAAATACTTTGATATATTACATCTCTCAAAATTATCTGAACGTCCAGTGAATCATACGAAGAATTTACCACTAGAAGACAGTCAATTTCTGACAAACTGATGCCTGCTTCACCGATGTTATATCATACAATATAAAAGCAGTATATTACACCAGCACGTAGCTGCTGATGAATTTTCTCACTAGCCACAATTAGGTTAACCCAGTAACAGATTGCTCTTATGGCGTAATATGACTCTGATCTGTTCCATTTCATCTACATTTGTATTCTGTATCTACAACGAAGATTTCTTTGAGATAGGAGGGAAAATATTCATGAAAAGAATGTGCTAAATAACCAGGAGGGAAGCAGAGCCATTTTGACGTGACCTGCATACACGTATAGTAGATTTTTTCTTCTGTATGATAAAAGACAGTTACTGTGATTAATGAAGTGATGACAATGAAGAAGCTCATGTGAAAACCAAGTGGGAGAAAACAGATGTGGAAAGACTAAACAGAAACAAGTTATTTTGGTCTTATTTTATCTTTGTTTTTCTTTTTTTGAGATATTGATAACCGATGTTAGATGATAGAAATGTCAGGTTGAATCCTGTAAGATAACGTCTAAAGATATAACAGCTCTGAATTGGTGTTTGCTAGGGGTGGGTGGTGGGGATGGGGGTGGGTGGGGGGTGGGGGGTGAAGGGTAACAGGAATAGGTCCATTTTTCTCTAATGTCATACATGCGACGATGGAAATGACATTAAATCTGCTAAATTGTTCAGTTTAATAGTTTATGTAAAAGAGTGAGAGGTACTCAATTTATGTTACTCAATTTATGTTACTTGATGTTTTTAAGTAATATTTGATACTAACCCAATCTATTCACCTTGCACTATAGCCCTATTTGTGGACCTTTGAAGTAATTTTACTAAATACATTGTCCAAAACCCATGCAATCTACTCAGCTTCCTGAATTATTTGGAG